ACTCTATTTAAGAAACTCGTTTTTTTACCTATTTTCTTTAACATATAATCACAGTGATCTTGAAATCGAAGTCTGTCATCGATAATTATACCTAGATATTTCATAGTCTCTACACGCTCTATTTCAATTCCGTCCAGACATTTCAAAATAGTATTACCTCTCAATTCTTTTCGAATACTTCTAACTATCATATACTTCGTTTTACTTGCATTCATTTTTAACTTATTTATATTCATCCAACGTTCGATTATATTAAAAGCCGTGTTCAATTTTATCTCTATATCCGTGCTACTTTCTCCACTTACATATATAAGCGTGTCGTCTGCAAACATTTTTATATTGCACCCTTCTGGACAGCCTTCGATTATATCATTTATATATATTATAAATAGTAAAGGTCCTAGTACCGAGCCTTGTGGCACTCCGTATTCTGTTGTCAATAATTTAGACCATGTATGATTGAAACGCACTTGCTGTTTCCTATTATTTAAATATGATTTGAACCATTCTAAGGCCATTCCTCTAATTCCATAATAATACATTTTTCCTAATAATCTTTCTCTGTCTATTGTTTCAAACGCTCTCTTAAGATCCATGAAAATTACACCTACCATTTTTCCTTCGCTTACTATTAATTTCCATTCGTCAATGACAGTTTGAATCGCTGTTTCACACGAGTAATATTTTCTAAACCCCGACTGATGTTCTGTTATAATATCGTTAGTTTCCAAATACATTTCAAGTTGTTCTTTTACTACTAATTCTAACACTTTTTCAAATATTGGTAACATATTTATAGGCCTATAATCGCTCGCTTTTTTCGCTTTATCTATCTTTGGAATCGGTATTATCGTAGAGGTTTTCCAACCTTCCGGACAGAGACCTTCTCTTAAAGAATTGTTTATTATATTCGCAAATTCCTCTTTTATTACAGAAAAAGTTGTCCTCAATATATCGCTAGTTATTCCCTCTTCCGTACCTTTCTTTTTCGGCAATCCCATAACAATTTTTTCTAACTGCTCTAGTTTAATAGTCACGAAATTTTCCATAAATCCTTTATTTTCGATAATATAAATAATTTTCTTATTTATATTCATCCAATGATCGATTATATCACCGGATCTAACGACCTTTATAGAGTTTATTATACTATTAATACTTTGTATATAATATAAATTAAATTTATCAGCTATATTGCACTCTTCGATATCGCCTAAAATTTCAAAATCTATATTTCCTACCTCTTTTATGCCTACTGGCTCGCCTCTAATTATTTCTTTCAAGGTTTTCCACATAGACGTAGGATTTTCTTTATTAAGATCTATCATATTTTCATAATATTCTTTTTTCTTCTCCCTAATTAATTTTACTACTGTATTTCTTTCAATTTTATACTGCGACCAATTTTGTTCGGTATCGTCATACAATGCTCTTCTATATGCCTTATCCCTTCTATCCGCAGCCTCTTTTATTTCGTCTGAAAACCATTTCTTCCCTTCCCAAACTTTCGGAATTCTAAATTTTTTCCTCGGCGCCATTACATCTAACGCACCCACTATACTATCGACAAGTTTTTTCGCCCTCTCACTGACACCCATACATTCACACTGACATTCCTGGCTTTCTTGTAATTTATTTTTCACTAATATAGCAAATTTATTTCATCAAACTCTTTATAATTCCTAGCACTAAATTCTCTATATTTACTTTCAGTTTTACTAACACTCAGCTCAACTTTCAGCCACGCGTGATCCGTAATTTTAGGTTCATGAATTACCTGTACTATTTTATTATTATTAGCGAAGATCAAATCTATAATTGTCTGACTGTCTTTCGTAATTCTCGTCGGTTCGTTAACATATTGTTTCATACCTAAGCTTAGCATTGTCGTTTGCAGTTTATTCGCATAAAACGAATCTCTCATAAGATCTATATTAAAATCTCCTATTACCATGCATTCTCCCTTTATTATAAACTCTTCTACTATATCCTCGAAAAATCTCAAGAAATCTCCGTGCGATGCGCTCGGTGAGTGATATATTACCATTATCACTCCTTTATATAATTTATCTTTTACTTCTACCGCAACACACCAACAATTCGATTCTAATTTTTTTTCCCTCTAATACTATTTCATATTTAATATCGCTTCTAACGTATAAAATAACTCCTCCCGTATTCCTATTCTCAGCATTACATCTAACTATACTATAACCCGGAACGTTCACTTCACTGTCTTCGATATCCTCAGTCACTCTGGTCTCCGATAATGCTAAGAACGCAGGATTTATTTTCTTCATGATCTGATGTTGTATCTCATCTCTGTGCGCAATTAAACTTTGCGCATTTGTATATAGTATTATCTCCGCTTCTTCCTGTGGTTGCTATTTAGCGTCCTCCCAGCCTGCTCTCCTCTTCTCCTCCCGTAGCGCCCTCTTAAAGGTCGGACATTCCGGACTAAGGGCGTCATGGTCATCGCTTATATTCAGATTGTATGTTCGATTTTTGAACATACAATTCACACATTTCTTCTTTGTCGCTGTACAATCACGCGAGTTATGACTTCCTGCACATTTATAGCATGCTTCCTCTCGCGTACAATTTTTTGCAATATGATAATATCCCCAGCATTTGAAACATCTTTTAACATTGATGTGATTAAATACCGGACACTTCTTCCATCCTACACTTAGCTTTCCTTTCTTCAATATCAGCTCATGTGTCTCTTCATCTGCTTCTATTATTATTGACCCTTCTTCATTTCCTTTTCTTTCAGATTGATTATTTCTCCTTTCTTTGATCATTCTCTTCACAATTCGCATATTTGCTGTATCTATTTTATTCTGCATCTTTATCGTATTTATAAGTTCATTATCATCTAATTTCATCTCTTCTACACCTATATAATAATTTTTATCTTTGGTTTTGATTGAGGCGACTCTATCACTTTATAATTTTCTCCCAGCTTAGCTTGAACTGTCTCCTTCAATTTTTTCACCTCCTCGCCGGTTTCACAACCCACGATCACTGTTCCCTTGCTACCTTTCCTTAATTTCGTTATTCCCATAGCCATACTCTTAATATCCACCTTTTCTTTTATCAATTTTTTAGTGGCTTCACTCTCTTGTTGCATTTTCGGCTTAACAATTATAACGTTTTCTTTCTTCTTCCCTTTAACCGCTTCACTGTAGCTTATCTGCGATTCTTCCTTTGATACACATGTTACTCCCTGTATCATTTTCTTCAAGTTTTCCAGTTCTTGCTTAACATTTACTAATTCTTCTTGAACTACTTCTTTAATCATTAGTTTAATTTCATTTTTACAGGCTGTTTCATTTTTTATTTCCTTTACAGTTTTTATGATCCAGTCTACTTTTACATCAATGCCTGATCCTTTACTTGTGAACGATCCTGCAGATCCCACGGATCCTGTAGACGATGTCCTATCTCTTCCTGCCGTCTTCATGTTTGTTTCTTTACTATCAATCAAAAACTCCTCAAATGGGCCTTTACACGGCACTAATTCTTGTCTACTGTCCAGAATTTTATGCTTAATTACACATCCTGGATGGTAAAAAAGCTTATTTATACAAGTTTTGCATTTGACGACTTTATTCTTTATTGCCTTCCTACATGCCGAGCATCGATACTCTGCATATTCATCGTCCATGCCGATAATTACCGGCCGAAACCGCTAATATCAGCCTAATCGATCACTCACCTGTGATCCACTTTCCACGTATAATGTCTACTTGTCTTACGAGACTTCAATGCCCCGAAGAATAAATTCACTGCTCACAGTCACAGATCGCCATATCCCGGCTAGATAACTTTCATAGCTATCCCCTTTTTATGGCAGCGTAACTTGAATAACTTATTATACTTCTTTTCCACTGTTTACCGGTGAAAACTCAGTATTTTGACGGAGCGATGTGACACACGTCTTCTCCACTTCAGAGAGAGAGAGAGAGAGGGAGAGAACGAGAGAAGGCGAGAAACAGCGTGAGAAAGCGAGAGAGAGTGAGAGAAGACGAGAGGGAGCGAGAGAGAGCGAGAGAGGCCGAGAGAACGCGAGAGAGAGCGGGAGAGAGAGCGAGAGAGACCGGAAGAAAGCGAGAGAGCGAGAGAGAACGAGAGAAGGCGAGAAACAGCGAGAGAAGCGAGAAAGAGCGAAAAAAAAAGCGAGAAAGAGCGAGAGAGAGCGAGAGAGAGAGCGAGACGAGAGAGAGAGCGAGAGAACGCGAGAGAGAGAGAGGAGAGAGAGCGAGAGAACGAGAGAGAGAGAGAGAGAGCGAGAGAGCGAGAGAGCGAGAGAGCGAGAGAGAGAGCGAGAGAGAGCGAGAGAGAGAGAGCGAGAGAAGCGAGAGAGCGAGAGAGGCGAGAGAGTGGAAAGCAAGAGAGAAAGGGTGAAAGAGGGGGGAGAGTGAGGGGAGAGAGAGAGGAGAGAGAGAGAGTGAGAGAGAGAGCAAGAATTTATTTTTGTTTGGTTGCTTAAAAGGTTAAGCAGCTGAGGAAAATGTCACTATACTAGGATGGGTGACCGCGGATAAGGTAAAGCAGCTTCGGACAGAATCACTTTGTCGGGATGGGTGATCGGGACAAGTACGACGCCGTATCTTAAAAAAAAGTGACACCTTTTCGACCAAAAAATAACTTGAAAAATTCATATCTCCGCAACCAATAGAGCTATCCAGTTCCTTAAAGTCTCATTTTACTCGGAAAAAATCGCGCTTTCGATTGATATGGTCATCTTTTGAAAAATATGTTTCCGTTCATGAAATATTTCAAATTTTTGTTTTCAAGCTTACGAAAATCGTGTTACGTCCGGTAAAGGATACACAGTAGCGTCCTACGGATAATTTTCGCTATTGTTTCGATATTTTCGCTATCTTTTCGATATCTTTCAATATTTTTTTTGTTTTTTTGTAGATTGTATTTTAATTTGACGAATAAAAGATATAACTTAGCGAGACGCTACCGCGTCTCCTGATTATATAAAGGCACAGATATTAATGCAAGTACGACCGAATACGCAAATAAAATGTACGGTGACAAGGAACGACTCAAATTCGAAGTGTTGGATATTCAAACAAAAAATTTGCCGGAGAAGTATATTTCGAAATTTGATCATATATTCTCATTTTACACTTTGCAATGGTGTCATGACATTCGGTAAGAAAATTTATTTAATAATGGTAAATTACAATATTATTTTTGTAAGAAAGAATTTTCGTAATATATGATTTTACTAATATATACTTTTGCATAACTATGTGTTTCAAATAATTCTAATAATTTATATATTTTTAAAATTACAATCATTAACATTTATCTTCGTTATTCAACAGCCAGACGTTTGAAAATATGTATTGTATGCTTCGACCTGGCAAAACTATGCTGATATTATATATAGTTCATCATAGTTTTTTTGAAGTTTCGAAAATTATGGCGCAAGATGAGCGATATGCATCGTATATGGGGGTGAATATTATTGCAAATTGAAATATAATATAAGATTATATTGTAGAATAAATTTTTGTGTAACTGTGAAATTTTTATTTTAAAATCCTCCGAATGTATGCTTATATAGATTTGGCTAACATAAGATATGAGATTCAATTTTGTTTTATGTGTACTTGTATTATTCGACATTTCTATAGATAGCAAAATTTGTCATTTTAATCTCAAATTACGTCAAGATAATTAATTTTGATGCCTGAGTTAATTTTGGATACATCTTTTTTGTATAACAAATATTTTATATGTAATATATAATATATATATTGCACATTTAATTTTTTAACTGTATATATTGTCAATTATCTTTTATATAGGACAAAGCAAAGTATGTTGGGTCACTTCAATATTCAATCCAACCTCGTGAAGAGATAATAGAAATACTTGAAAATATTGGATTTCAAGTTAATCATTGCAGTCATCGGATATTGAACTACAAGGATAATGCAGAAACATTTCTATGTAAGTCTTTTCCTTGATATATATACAAGCAAAAATTAAATTCTAGGCTACGTAATTAATATAATGTTTTAATATTTTTTCTCATTTATTTGATTTACAAATTCTAAATTAATCGTATATATTTTATTCAATTCGATAGCCATGGTCACTTCACAATGTACTTTTAACTTTTTGGACGACATGCCGAATAATCTAAGAGTTGAATTCAAGAATGAATTAGCACGTAAATTTGCGGAAATAAGAGCTAAAGAATACGCAGATATTATTCAAAATAATTTTAAGATACATAACGTAGAGAAGGAGAAAAATAGAGATGATATGCCTATTGGATTACTGCACTGATAATTTATGCACAAAAAGTTTCATAATTGTATGAATGATCTTCATGATTAATACGACAAAAATGGGCAAATTTGTTTCTTTTTCACGTAGTCTCTCGTTATAAAATGCTTGAAAAATATTTACTTGTATTTCTTTTATGGACTAATCAAAAAATTAATATTTGCAAATTTACATTACAAAGTATACAATTGCTATTTGAGATATAGCTACAATATAATATATGTCATATTATTTTATTTTGTAACGGCGTGGCCGTTACTAACGCCTCGCGGGCCGATCACCCGCCCGCCACTTGAGGCTATGGCGCCTAAGGCGCCCCTAAACACAAAAACATAAGCGATACACGGGTCACCCTACCCCAGGGGCGCCCCACTACAACCCCCAGAGGCGCCCCACTACGACGCCGGCATTACCCCCACCACAGCCTCGATGTAGAGTGGGGGAACCGCCGGCAGGGTATATAAGCCGGCTCGACGGATGAGCCGGCACCAGTCCTGTTCCGGACCTCCTAGCCAGGCAACGGGCTTCTCGTTGTTACGCCGGGTTTCCCGGTTTCTGGCCTCCTACCTTTAGTATCGGGCAACGGGTTTCTCGTTGTTACGCCGGGTTTCCCGGTTTCCGGTCTCTTCCTGCTACACGCCGGGCAACGGGTTTCTCGTTGTTACGCCGGGTTTCCCGGTTTCCGGTCCCTTCCTGCTATACACCGGGTGACGGGTTTCTCGTCATTACGCCGGGTTTCCCGGTTTCCGGTCTCTTCCTGCTACACGCCGGGCAACGGGTTTCTCGTTGTTACGCCGGGTTTCCTGGTTTCCGGTCTCTTCCTGCTACACGCCGGGCAACGGGTTTCTCGTTGTTACGCCGGGTTTTCCGGTTTCCGGTCTCTTCCTGCTACACGCCGGGCAACGGGTTTCTCGTTGTTACGCCGGGTTTCCCGGTTTCCGGTCTCTTCCTGCTACACGCCGGGCAACGGGTTTCTCGTTGTTACGCCGGGTTTCCCGGTTTCCGGTCTCTTCCTGCTACACGCCGGGCAACGGGTTTCTCGTTGTTACGCCGGGTTTCCCGGTTTCCGGTCTCTTCCTGCTATACACCGGGTGACGGGTTTCTCGTCATTACGCCGGGTTTCCCGGTTTCCGGTTTCTTCCTGCTATAGGCTATACGCCTCCGTACACCGTATCTCTAAGTTATACCGGGTAATTTGTAAATCTTTTCCGGACACCGCTACAGGCTATACGCCTCCTTATTTTGTTTGTACCGAGTAGTCAATAAGTTTCTCTATTTAGGGCTTTATGCCAACAAACATTTCGATTATACCGAGTAGTCAATAAGTTTCTCTATTTAGGGCTTTATGCCAACAAACATTTCATTTATACCGAGTAGTCAATAAGTTTCTCTATTTAGGCTTTATGCTAACAATCATTTTGTTTACTTGTTTCTTTTTGAATAAACCAAAGCATTGTTAATAAGGAATAAGCGAGTCTGAATCTCCCCCTTCCTCCCGAATCCTGGAACCGGCGAGCCGATTCGCGGCGTCGGGAAAGGTGAACCGTTACAATTTAATTATATTATATTAAATTTCATATTTATAAAATAAATTATAATTAATGGATACTGCATTTTATGCACATATTCATTGAAAAATATTCAATTTTATCATATTTTTAAATGACAAGAAATTGTAGATTAATTATTCCTGCTCAATTTCTGCCGCCAATCTGCTATCAGATTGTGTTTGACAGACTAGGTTTTTACTGCCAATTTGCCATTAACTATATTGTGCAGATTTTCTTGGTTTTTGCCGCTAATCTGCTGTCGGATTTTACTTACTACTTATGCTAGCATAATGTCATCAATTGCGGACACAGCAATTAATCTTAGGAATATGCTGTAAAGTCATGATTATTGTGCTAACATTTTGCTATCTGAGATATTGACTACACAGATAGTCATAGCAATTATTATAACATCATTTTGATGTCAAAATGCATCATTTGTCATCAAAATGATGTCATAATAATTACTGTGGCTATCTGGGTATATATTTTATATATTAATAATTTATGTAAAATTATAGAACGTATAGGAAATTAAAAACAAACATTTTCTATAGATCGGTCGATTTTATAGCAAATATGTACTTTGTAATATATAAATTTGTAAATAAAAAAATTAATTTGTACTCTCCACTGTGGTTACACAATTTTAAATAACATCACTTATTTTTATATTATTTAAGCAATGTATTTGTAAATTATTTTTTATTTTTTTAGATTTTAGATAATTATTAAACTTATAAATTGCAATTTCTTTTTTATATAAAATTATGCACAATTAATATTGATTAAAATTAAAGATGTCATAATTACGATTAATCAAATGAATATTTATCATTATTGTTCAGGAATAAGCCTAATCCTAAAGTATAGGTCGTTCAATTCTCCGTTTATATTATCGTTCGACATCTCAGTAATTATTCGCGCCAACGCGGGACAACACGTCAAAAACACATGTGATCCACGTGTTACTCGCCTGTCTTTTCCTTTGCTCGACGCGAATCGCCTGCGCAAATCCCCAAAATTCTCGCTTCGCGCCTTGGCTACGTGTCTCGGATCATTATTGAGCGTCCAGCCACGAGACGAGATAGATCGATACACCTTTTGTTGAAATATCGTCCGCCTCGTTTCTAACACTCTTATTATAATTTGTGATTTGAATAAAAGTATATTAAAACGAATCCGCGAGTGACCATTAACAAAAACTACCGCCTTGGTGTGCGAACCTTCTATACAAGGTTTTACCAACGAGAAACAAAACATTTTGGTCCTTCGAGCCGGATCGTCGCCAAGGACAATTATTGGCATTCCGAATCACGATCGTCGATATGAACACCTCGACATCTTTCGAAGAGCTTTTGGCTCTGCAAACACAGAAGATGAGTTTCGTATCACGGGCGCTCATCAATTACAAGAAGCTGGGGCAAGCCAAAATGACACCTGCGGTGACACGTCAACGTCTCGTCACCTTGAAGGAAGCCTTTGCCACTTGCCAGGAGCTCGACAGTCGAATCGGGCTTCATGCGGACGATGACGACAAAGCATTGCATACCTACTTCACAAAGAATTCGTTTCTGGAATGTGAGGACTGCAACAACGAGGCTGCCGACTACATGGCTGAGGTATTAGAGAGCTACGAATCCCGCATCCCTCCCGCTACATCATCACAAAACGTAAGTGGCTTGCATGATGTTTTCCGACCCGCGTCGCATCTTCCGAGGATCAACCTACCGACCTTCGACGGGAGCATCGACAAGTGGGAAAGCTTTCGCGATAAATTCCAATCGATGATTCATAATGATCCTAGTTTGTCAAATGTCGATTGCTTACATTATTTATGCTCATGTGTAAAAGAGGATGCAAGTAACGCGCTTGACCACCTCGCGGTAACCAATAATAATTTCGACGTCGCGTGGAGAATTCTAATCTCTCGGTACGACAACAAACGTCGTCTTGTTACAACGCATTTACAATCGCTGTTAAATTTGCCGTTACTGACCACAGAAACCGCTCATGACCTTCGTCAGCTTCGCGACCAAACAAACAAAGCAATCCAAGCGCTTAGAAATCTCAACCGTCCTGTCGAACATTGGGATGATTTGCTTGTTTTGCTCGTCGCACAAAAACTCGATAAATACTCGCGTAAAGCTTGGGAACTCAAGCTCGGCGATACGGTGGAATATCCGCGTTATAATGAGCTCGATCAATTTCTTGAGTCTCGAATTCGCGCTCTCGAGGCGATCGTACCACTTTCTAAAGAAAAGCCATCCTCTACCTCTAAAGGAAAAATTCTTGTGTCGCATACCGCGTCCACCGTTTCGTTCGCATGTCCGTTGTGCAAGGCCAATCACTTATTATACCAATGTTCGACATTTTTAAAGCAAACACCCTCTCAACGTTTCGATTTTATTAAGCAGCGAAAACGATGTTTAAACTGTTTTAGTAGTAAGCATTCCGTCAAAGATTGTTCGAATTCGCGCGTATGCCGCCAGTGTAATAAACGTCATCACACGTTATTACATTTCGATAGCTTGACTCCGCCGGTGCAAACGGAGTCACCGCCAGCAACAAGCGCAAATGTAAACGAAGTCATGTCGCATTTACTATCGAAAACCGTCGCGCCTAATTCTAATATTTTGCTTGCGACTGCCCGGGTGAGAGCCTATTCGCCTGTTGGACGTTTTATAACTGCACACGCACTGCTGGATCAAGGTTCCGTTTCGACGTTTATTACCGAATCGCTCGCGCAACGTTTACGACTCTCTAAAATAAATCGTTCGATTTTCGTCACCGGCATCAGCGAGATGCAATCTGTTGTCCGTCACGCCGCTCATCTTACAATTACGCCGGCGAATCGCGACGAACCCGCTTATTCAACGACCGCACTCATTCTTCGATCGTTGAAAAAATATGTACCGAATCGAATAAGCACGACGGGTACGTGGAACCATGTCGACGGACTCCAATTAGCGGATAGTGACCCCATGAGTACCGACCCGATTGATATGATAATCGGAGCGGATTTATACGGCATGCTCGTACTTGATGGTGTTCGACAAGGTTCCGAAACGGAGCCCACCGCGCAAAATACTACTCTCGGTTGGATTTTGTCCGGGCCAATCGCTTCGTCCCCGACCAATCTTTCGATTTTTGAGACCGCGCATCACGGAGTCGTCCTTGAAGCGTTAGATTTCGACCTTCGTCATTTCTGGGAGACTGAAGAGGTCCCTCAGACCCAACACCATAGCCCTGACGAGCGCAAGTGTGAAGAGCACTTTCTCGCTACCCATTCCCGCACTCCTCAAGGACGCTATATTGTTAGATTACCGTTTAAAACCGGACCACCACTCTCGTTAGGAGAATCTCGCTTCATTGCCGAATCGAGCCTCTATCGCTTAGAGCGACGTTTCAAACGCAATCCATCTATCGCTTCAGAATACCACGACTTTCTCACGGAATACGAAAACCTTGGTCATATGATCAAAATTCCACCGACAGAAATTGTACAACCGGATCAAAGTTATTACATACCGCATCATGCTGTCTTACGTGACAGTAGTGCAACTACTCGACTGCGGGTTGTTTTTAATGCATCCTGCCGTACCACTAACGGAACCTCGTTAAACGACAATATGTTTATCGGACCTAAACTTCAAAAGGATTTGGCCGCTGTCATAATGCAGTGGCGCCAATATCGTTACGTATTTACCGCCGATATCGCTAAAATGTATCGTCAAATTTTAGTTGACTTCCGCGATACTGATTACCAGCGCATTCTATGGCGCTCTTCTCCCAGCGAACCTGTTCGCGACTACCGTCTTCTTACCGTGACGTACGGCACTGCCGCCGCTCCGTATCTCGCTCTTCGAGTGCTAGACCAACTCGCTGAAGATGACGGTGCTCAATTTCCGTTGGCCGTCCCTGTTCTACGTCATCAAACATACGTTGATGATTGCGCGTTCGGAGCCGACGATCATATCCTTGCACGGCAAACACGAGACCAATTAATCGCGCTTCTCGCTAAAGGAGGCTTTCGCCTACGAAAGTGGGCAAGTAATTCTCCAGATCTTTTGTCAGACCTCGATCCTGCCGATCATGGACTAGCCACTCACAAAGTCCTCCAAGACGATGAACACCTTAAAGTGTTAGGAGTTAGTTGGAATCCAAAGCTCGATGCGTTTCAACTTCGCGTATCTCTCCCGTCTTCGCCGGGAAAAACGAAAAGAGCTATTCTCTCGACAATCGCTGGGTTTTTCGATCCGATGGGATGGGCCGCTCCCGTCATCATCGGTGCAAAGATCTTTATGCAACGATTGTGGTCAATCCAATGTCAGTGGGACGACGACATTCCGGGTGAACATTTTGACCACTGGGCAACTTATCATCACCAATTACCGCATCTCGAGACGCTCAGTATTCCGCGTTGGACGACGCACGGATCTCATACTCTTCACAAGCCATCCTCCATCCCGAAGAGATCCAGAAAGCCAAACATTACTGGCTCCGAGTTATGCAATCCGAGATGTTTTCCGTTGAAATCTCGACTTTACAACGGCAACTTCCGTTACAAAAAACTAGTTCCTTATCCACACTCAATCCTTATTTGGACGCTGACGGACTTCTTCGCATCAGAGGACGGCTCCGTCATGCTTGCCTTTCAGAAACGACGAAGAATCCGCTCGTATTACGAGCACATCCATTGCTAATTCTTATTATTCAGCATCATCATCTCAGAACGTTACATGCTTTTCCCCAATTAACACTCGCTTCATTACGTAATGAATTTTGGATCCTCCGATCTCGCGCTACCGTTCGTGCTGTTCTGTATCAGTGCGTACAATGCACTCGTGAGCGCGCTAAAAAACCTGTCGAACTCATGGGCGATCTACCGGAGGCAAGAGTTAACCGTGCCGCTCGCGCATTTATACATACTGGCGTTGATTACGCTGGACCAATCACTGTCCGAACCGCGCCCGGCCGAGGACACAAATCGCAAAAGGCTTACATTGCGCTGTTCATATGTTTAACGACCAAGGCTATGCATTTAGAACTTGTTTCCGATTACAGCTCGCCGACCTTTATTGCAGCGTACCAGCGATTTGTCTCCCGCCGAGGACTACCGCAGTCCATGTACTCAGACAACGGTACAACATTTCATGGCGCTAATCGAGAATTATCCGAAGCTCACGCGAAAGCAATTCGCGATCCAAGCTTTCGTAATCGTCTCGCTAGCGATGGAACCGCGTGGCAGTTCCTACCCCCGGCCGCACCACATTTCGGCGGACTGTGGGAAGCCGGTGTCAAGAGCGTCAAATACCACATAAAGCGTTGCATCGGCCTCCATACATTAACTTTTGAAGAAATGACCACGTTTCTTTGTCGCATTGAAGCTTGCTTAAACTCTCGTCCGATCGCTCCCGTCTCCGATAATCCTGACGATTATCACGCGTTAACGCCTGGTCATTTCTTGATCGGTACCTCTCTTCTCGCTCCCGCCGAACCAAGCGTGCTTGAATTTAACGAGAATCGATTGTCGCGTTGGCAAATGATTCAACGTCTGACGGAAGAGTTTTGGCGGTCCTGGTCAAGCGATTACTTGCATTCTCTTCAACAACGCCCAAAATGGCGCGTTATCCAGCGACTTGCCAAAGTTGGCCAAATAGTCCTAGTGCGTAATCCCTTGGCTCCGCCCAGCCATTGGGACCTTGGACGAATTGTCGCCTGTCATCCAGGAGAAGATGGCCTGACGCGCGTTGTCACGGTCAAAACCTCCCGTTCTGAATATAAACGACCGATCGTGAAACTATGCTTCTTGCCTGTTGCGATTAATACCGAAGAAGTAAAAGATTCCGTTATGGCGGGCGGAATCTCGTCTTAATATGCGCTAACACCCCGTTCTTTGTTATTGAAGTATCTACGAGATACTGATATTCTTTGTACAGCGTTTATTCCATTATGTCTTTTCTTATTGTTAAACCATTTGTACTTTTTCAAATGCCTACATTCGAGGCGGGCGGTATGTTCAGGAATAAGCCTAATCCTAAAGTATAGGTCGTTCAATTCTCCGTTTATATTATCGTTCGACATCTCAGTAATTATTCGCGCCAACGCGGGACAACACGTCAAAAACACATGTGATCCACGTGTTACTCGCCTGTCTTTTCCTTTGCTCGACGCGAATCGCCTGCGCAAATCCCCAAAATTCTCGCTTCGCGCCTTGGCTACGTGTCTCGGATCATTATTGAGCGTCCAGCCACGAGACGAGATAGATCGATACACCTTTTGTTGAAATATCGTCCGCCTCGTTTCTAACACTCTTATTATAATTTGTGATTTGAATAAAAGTATATTAAAACGAATCCGCGAGTGACCATTAACAAAAACTACCGCCTTGGTGTGCGAACCTTCTATACAAGGTTTTACCAACGAGAAACAAAACAATTATTTTATAATAAATTTAAATGTTTTATTAAATTCTATTTGTTACTATATATTAGTCCTATTTAAATTCTATTAGAATTGCTATAATAATATACTATTTTGTAATTAAAAAAGAAGAAGAAATATAAGATTGCATATTAATAAGTTATGATAAATTTTGTTTTATCAAAAATATAATTGATAAACTACTGTATCTGCAAACATAAAAAGTTCCGATTAAAAATTAATAATAAAATCTACATTATCATATTTTTCTATGAAAAAAACGTGACTTGTTATAAATTGATTATCTAGTCGCGAATGTCTTAAATATTCGAATTGGAAATATGAAATTAATTGAAATTTAAAAACCAGCAAATGACTTGTAAGATTAGATAAAAATTATAAGCTACATGATAAGAAAAAAAGAAATCTTTTTTATTACATGCTTAAACACAAAAGATTGTTTCATAATTGTATCAGGTCATGATATATAGGAAATAAATGTCTTAAATATTCGATTTGGAAACATGAGATTAATTGAAATTTAAAAACTGATCCAGCAAGCGACTTGTAGGATTAGATAACAATTATAAGCTACATGATAAGAGAGAAATCTCTTTCATTACATGCTAAGACCCAAAAGATTGTTTCATAATTGTATCTTTGACTCCTTATTTCAATCAAAATTTCGAAACACTCGAAAGAGAAATGTTTATCTTTATTTATTATATAATCGACATAATGAAATAGTTTATACATTAATGTAATTGCATTTTCTAAATCTATTGTTTATACACATTAAAAACATTTAAAATAAAGACTGAAATAAAAGTTTTAAAAATTAAATATAGAAAATGTACTCCAATTATCAGGCATCACAGTCTTTAATATGTGTACTTTAGTATGCGTACACACATCTTCGTTACATGTTCAGATAATAAAAAAAAAGATTTGAAACTTAATTTGTGATACATACTCAAAGCAAACTTTTCTCTGTCATTTCGTATATTTTAACATTTCTTGTTAAAGCTTATTTCTAATCTACAATCGAATCTCGTAATTGTTGCAATTTGTAATACAACAAATATTATCTCCTGGATAAGTCACTTTATTACTAAAACCTTCTTTTACTGAATATTTACCATGATTTTCCACCAAATATTCGTCCCTAATATAATGGTATTGTCGTGTTGTAAAACAATCAACTTACATCGGTAATAATCTTCTGTTCTAATATTTATATGAATATATGAGTCAATAAAAAAGGCAGTCAAATTATATTGTGTACACGCTACTCGTGTCCAATTAGATTTAATGTCATCGCCTCTATAAATTATCGCACGAGCAATACCGACTGCTGCGCGCAGGGCGCTGCGATCGCCTATACCACGCCTCTCTCTCGTGCGTCTTCCGGTTGTTGTTCGCCTTTTCCTGTACGTTCTCCGGCTGTCGTCCACGCGGCGACACGCAGTTTTCTTATTATACAGTCCGCTTACTACAATAAACATTTGGTTACACAACGAGTATCAACAATTCCTTCATTGAGTCACCATGATCAAGGAATACCTTATATTTACACGAATATAAGGTAACGAGGCGTCAGCACAAGCGACGAAGAATACGCGTCCACATACGCGCGAGGCAACAAGCCCAAGTTGAAGGCACACACACATCCTTTGGCTCGCACATTGGTCCTTCGAGCCGGATATAAGCGTATTCACAATTATACGTATTAATTGATTACGTTCAATAAGTAATCTTAATGAGGTAAGACTTTACGGTTCTCTTTTAATCGAGGTAAGCAACTCATTTTATTTAACCCTTTTATCGTTGGCACGCCATATTGTCTTGTTCGCGACGCATTTTTACACTCGCTCAAGCTATTCGTTCCCAGCATAACAAGTCAACAAATATGTCTAATCTCACGCTATCAGAAGCAAAAAATAAAAGAGCTCACATAAGAGCATCGGCGACACGGCTAAAAACTTTCATAGAAGGTTATGATCCTAATCAAGGATTACGACACGACATTACCGAACGTAAGGTTAAGCTATCAGATTTGTGGGATCAATTTGAAGCCGTTCAATCGCACATAGAAACAATTGAAAAGGAGGATCCCGCGAATACAGACAAAGATGCCCTACTGGCACGACAAATCCAACAAAGGGATAGCTTTGAAAATCCTTATTTTCATTTGGTATCGCGTTACGACACTGTATTAGAACATTTCGATCGGCGTGAGGCTACAGCTTCAATATCTAACGAGCTTAATAATGTAGGGAACATCGCAAGACAATCTCGCGTCAAATTACCTAAAATAGAACTTCCAGTTTTTTCAGGCTCTTACGAAGACTGGTACTCGTATCAAGACACATTTGAAAAGCTTATTCACACAAATGACATTCTCGATGATATAGAAAAGTTCCACTATTTACGCTCATCTTTAAGGAGCACCGCAGCGGAAGTGATAAGCTCTATAGAAATTACAACAGACAATTATCAAGAGGCGTGGGCGACAATAAAGGATCGTTTCGACAACAAAAGATGGATCATAAATAAACACATCAAGGGGATGTTCGAAGCACCATCGCTTATCAAGGAAAATCACGTCGCATTGCGCGAATTATTGGATACCATTCTGAAGCATCTGAGGTCTCTTAAGGCTCTGAAAAGGCCCACGGACACATGGGACGACTTGATTATCACGTAATTACATCAAAACTTGATCCCGCAACCAATAAGGCATGGGAAACAAGCATTGTCCAAGGAGACATGCCAAAATTGAAGTCTCTCACAGACTTCCTTTCAAAACGTTGTCAAGTGCTAGAATCGTTTTCTAGTAAGTTGCATAATAATCAACAAAACAATAAATTCTCAAAGGCATAGCAGTAAGCACAAAAATCAATCAGTATTAAATGTTACGACTAACGTATCTTGCCCTCAATGCAAGGAGAATCATTCAATATACCATTGTGAAGCATTCCTTAAACTTCCGATAGACAAACGAATACAGATAGTTAAAAGAGCTCATATTTGTACGAATTGTTTGAGATCAACAGATCATCAAGCCAGTGCATGTAAATCAGGATCTTGTCGCAAATGCAATAAAAGGCATAACACTTTATTACACTTATCAACTTCCAACAACAATGACAAGGGTCTGAAGTTTAAGGAATCGCTCGCAGAGTCAAATGAAGCACCACAAGCTATCGTTACACAATGTTTATCAACTCATCATTCTGTGAATATTTTATTGTCTACTGCTATTGTATATGTATATGATTCTAAGGAACAGCCAATTTCATGTCGCGTGCTACTCGACAGTGGTTCACAAATGAACTTCATTACTGAAGAATTAGCCAATCAACTGCATCTTAAGGAACAAACAGTAGAAACCTCTATTATAGGAGTCATGCAAAAAGGCTTTCATGCTAAAAGATCGATTAGCTTGCGTATTAAATCTCGTCTAAACAATGTTAGTGAGGTCATAGATTGTATTGTACTACCAAAAATTACTCAGCCATTACCTCAAAATTTCATAACTAAATCAAAGCTAATGATTCCCAAGCACATTAAATTGGCTGATCCAAACTTTAACATTCCGTCTAATATCGATATGTTAATTGGCGCCGAATTATTTTGGAGGCTCATTTGTGCTGGCCAGATCAAGCATTCAAACAAAAGACTCATTTTGGTTGGATAATTTCTGGTCATATTATAGGTAATAATGTAAACTCTATCACAACTAGTTGTCATTTAGCAGTAACGGATGACTTAAATCGGACGCTTAATCGATTCTGGGAAGTAGAGCATAACATATCATCGCCTAGTCCTTCGCTGGAGGAAAGCAAATGTCAATCTATTTTTCAAAACAGCACCAGACGAAATGATGAAGGACGATTCATAGTTCAGCTCCCAATAAAAGCGGATAAATTGATTGCCATTGGAGATTCAAGGGATATCGCTCTGAAACGCTTCAAATCTTTGGAAAAACGTCTCTTGAAGCAGCCGCAAATGTACGCTAAATATAAAGAATTTATTCGCGAATACAAGGAGCTGGGTCACATGTATGAGGTGCCCAGTGATGTGGAGTTCAATATTTCCAACACAAACATTCCAGCTTACTATCTACCGCATCATGCGATATACAAGGAAACAAGTAGTACTATCAAACTGAGAGTGGTTTTCGATGGATCGTGCAAAACATCAAATGGTACTTCTCTTAACGACGTGCTAATGGTTGGCCCGACACTGCAGGACGATCTTTTCTCCATTTTGTCAAGATTTCGAACCTTCACGTACGCTCTAACCGCCGACATTACTAAAATGTACAGGCAGGTACTAGTAGACCCTACACAAACATGTCTTCAGCGCATCCTCTGGCGCGATTCGCCAAATGAATCAATTAAAACATACGAACTTCTTACACTTACATATGGGACTTCCTCAGCATCATTCTTGGCTATTGCAGCCTTGCGAAAACAAGCCGAAGAAAATTCAACCAAGTTTCCAATTGCGTCCAAAGTAGTATTAAACGACTTTTATGTGGATGACCTAGTCACTGGTGCAAACACCATTCAAGAGATATACACTATTAAGAAGGAAACTATTCAATTATTGCAAGGAGCCAAATTTGAATTAGCAAAATGGGCATCGAATGTTCCCTCTCTGCAAGGCCAGCCATATAATTCAAATCACAAGGAATTTATGTCGTCAGCTGACAAACAATGTGAAACACGCACATTAGGCATTATATGGAATTGTAACATGGATCAATTCCAATTTCTCAGCGTCACGCCTTTCGAACCACTTAAAACAATCACAAAACGAAGTATATTGTCAAGGATCTCATTAATATTTGATCCACTCGGTCTACTCGGTCCTGTCACACTAACAGCCAAAATTATAATGCAAGATCTTTGGCGTCTTGGACTGGATTGGGACGAATCAATCCCTTTAGAATTACACACTAAATGGAAACGTTATGAAGCAGAATTGCTTACACTAAGGCAAATCAACGTACCTCGCAGGGTTATTCCGTTTAAGCAACACACACGACTGGAAATTCACGGATTTTCCGACGCCAGTGAATCTGGATATGGAGCATGCATTTATTTACGTGCCACATCGCCCGATGGAAGCCATTCAGTTCGTCTACTTTGCTCCAAGAATCGAGTAGCTCCTTTGAAGACTCTCTCGATTCCGCGCCTCGAATTATGCGGCGCACTATTGCTAGCACAGCTCGTCAACAAAATTTCAAATTGTCTATCATGCAAAATAGATTCTATTTACTTATGGACTGACTCGACCATTGTCCTAGCCTGGTTGCAATCATGCAACCGTACCTGGACACCCTTCGTAGCCAATCGCGTTGGAGAGATACAACAATTGACCGCAATACAAAACTGGAAACACATACGAAGTGAGGACAATCCCGCAGACCCATTGTCAAGAGGCATCATGCCAGCATCTTTATCTCATCTACAAATTTGGTGGACAGGTACTCCGTGGCTAACGCTTGATAAGAAAAAATGGCCTCAAGGTCTACTTGTCACCTCTAATCAAGACGCACCAGAAAGGAGATCTAAATGCATCACCACGCTAGCAACTAATAATCAAGATTTTAACATCTTCAATCGATACTCAAGATTTACAAGATTGATTCGAATCGTTGCGTATATCTTTCGATTCTTCAAAAACGCAAGAAATATTGGAGGATCTATTAGAAGATCTCAAGAATCTATTACGCCTGCACGAATAATTCAACCTATAACCACTGACGAAATAAATCACGCCATTCAGATATTGGTAAAACTTGTACAGAAAGATTGTTTTTCAAAGGAGTTGCATTCATTATCTAATCAAGGCATCATATCTCCAAACAGTCCTGCATCAAGGTTAAGCCCATTCATCGATGAAACTGGAATCTTGAGAGTCGGGAGCCGTCTACAATCTTCATCGTTGCCGCGCTCAGCAAAGCATCCCATATTATTGCCTGGACGACATTCATTATCACACTTTATCATAATGCACGAACATGAAAAACACTTACATGCTGGACCTCAAGCTACACTCGCTGCCGTTCGACAGAACTATTGGCTCGTATCAGCGCGAGATATTGTTCGTCAGATCACTCGAAAATGTACCATTTGTTTTCGCAGTGCACCGAAACCAGCATCAACAATCATGGGTAATCTGCCCAAGCCACGAATTACAGTGCCCTCAAGGGTCTTCGAAAATTGCGGAGTAGACTACGCCGGTCCATACTACTACAAGCAAGGATTGAGAAAAAATACCAAGTTAATAAAGTGCTATATGACAATATTTGTCTGTTTTGCAACGAAGGCCGTCCACATTGAGTTAGCCACGGATATGACTTCAGAAGCATTTTTAAATGTTTTCAAGCGATTTATCTCCAGGCGAGGATATCCAGCCAACATATACTCCGACAATGGCCTAAACTTTGTAGGTGCAGAACGTGAATTGAACGAGTTAGTTGTATTATTCAAGAATCAAAAATTCCAACATGAAATCGCTGGATACATGAGCGATAAAAATGTACAATGGCACTTTATCCCACCCAGAGCACCTCACCATGGAGGGCTTTGGGAAGCTGCAGTCAAAATGGCTAAAGTGCATATATCTCGAATAACCAAAGACGCTCACCTAAGATATGAGGAGCTACAAACGTTGCTTATTCAAGTCGAAGCAATCCTTAATTCTAGACCACTCACGCCTATGTCTTCTGATCCTGATGACCTTGCACCTTTAACAGCAGGACACTTTTTAATAGGGGGACCTCTAACGTCTTATCCCGAACCATCATTGGAGAATCTTGCAATTAATCGTTTATCACGCTGGCAGCATCTGGAGCAATTGAGGCAACATTTCTGGCGACGTTGGACGAAGGAATACCTTCATCATCTCCAGCAACGCAATAAATGGCAATCTATTGATTCATCAATATATAAAGGGCAAATGGTAATTCTAAAGGAGGACAACATGCCACCTTTATCTTGGCCCCTAGGAAGAATATCAGAGATCCATCCGGGACACGATGGAATCGTTCGCACGGCTACCATCAAGACAACTAAAGGTTCTTATAAGCGCCCTATCACACGTTTATGTTTACTTCCTTTCGATAATGAGCCTCAGTCATGACTGTCAAATTATTCTTATTTTTCCATTATTATTATTATTTTTTTTATATATACAACAAGTTATAATTATTTGTTTATATCCTAACATTTTAAAACTTACCATTATAATATGTTCATTTATAATTATCCTATTTAGATTATTCAAATTAGTTATAAGTATAACAAGTGTCTTAACTTGTATTATTTTCCTACGTTGAAAGGTCACCCTTTCAAGGGGGGCAGTATGTACACGCTACTCGTGTCCAATTAGATTTAATGTCATCGCCTCTATAAATTATCGCACGAGCAATCAGTGTTGTTAGACGGGCCCGCTTTTCTCGCGCATGCGCGGCCATGTCGTCTGCTAGGCTAGTATTAACAGGCACGTATCTAGACGACTGTCTGCAGAGGAGTGATATGGGCGCGAAAGTTTTGGCTCAACGTACAACGGAGGATTACAACTTTTATTTTTTATTGTTTATTATCTACGACGCAATATTTATTTTCTTTTAAATTTAAATATTAATATAAAAATTTAATTTTCATATTTATAAAATAATTTTACTTTGTATTTTAATAAATGTACCTTTGTTTTTTGAATACTGGTAAGGTTTTTGTCAGTTTCCCTTACCCTTGCAACAAATGTTGGTATTCCATAATTTTCCTGCCAAATAAAATTTTTTAGTTTGTTATATATCTTGTTTAAAGTTATTTTTATATCCCTCCGTCTTGTTTATCTTTTATTTATAAAAATTTACAAAATTATAAAATTATAAACTTAGAACGTTATACGGGTGATTAACGGTACACCTTTTTACATATGGAGTTACTTCACTGATACTACGTTCGCCGCGCATGCGCGAGAAAAGTGGGCCCGTCTAACAGCACTGCGAGCAATACCGACTGCTGCGCGCAGGGCGCTGCGATCGCCTATACCACGCCTCTCTCTCGTGCGTCTTCCGGTTGTTGTTCGCCTTTTCCTGTACGTTCTCCGGCTGTCGTCCACGCGGCGACACGCAGTTTTCTTATTATACAGTCCGCTTACTACAATAAACATTTGGTTACACAACGAGTATCAACAATTCCTTCATTGAGTCACCATGATCAAGGAATACCTTATATTTACACGAATATAAGGTAACGAGGCGTCAGCACAAGCGACGAAGAATACGCGTCCACATACGCGCGAGGCAACAAGCCCAAGTTGAAGGCACACACACATCCTTTGGCTCGCACATATTGTATTCCTTTTTTTATTACGTCCAATAACGGATCATAGGCACTATTTAACGATTTGTTTTCTTCTACTGAATTTAAACCGTTATGTTGTTGTTTAATAAAAATGGTTCCCGATATTAATCTTTTATGGAAATTTTTTTCCCGATCCAATATTTTAATATTATCCTAATCTATGTTGTATTGAAATTCAGTAATATGCCTAGAAACTACAGATTGTTTCGAGATTTGTAATTTCATATTCGCTAAATGTTTCCTGATTCTCGTATTTAACTACCTGTTCGTCTGACCCACGTATAATGCATCACAATTTTTACATGCTATGTTATATACTACGTTATTATTCGAAAGTGCTGGTGTGATAACTTTGTTTACTTTAATGATTTTAAGATCAATCAAAATTAATATTAAAGCTAGTGGTGAAAATAAACTTGGCAAACTTGATTTCGACGTAACGAGCAATTTTATTCAATACTTTCACAAGTGAAAGTATTGAATAAAATTGCTAGTTACGTCGAAATCAAGTTTGCTAAGTTTAATGATTTTATTTAACTTATTCATGCATCTGAATCCTGTGTGTGAATTTCCGTATCTCTAAATGAAATGCTAACTTGTTCCGAAATCTTTTTAATATACGGTATTGCTCTATGAATCTTTTATCTTTAAAAATATAAAATTCTTATTAATTTTTGCTTGATAAGAACCTATTATTTTACTTCAATTGTGTTACACATATAAGCTTATTCTTAATAATTAATGGAAAAGAGTTGTTACGAGATACCTCAGTAAATTTGCGGCAAAATTAAATATGGTGTTGTGTCTTCGTGAGACACGGAAGTTGTTACGGGATTGTTGCACTTATAGAAATTTATCACTATAGTAACGCCAATTAATCACTTATTTCGAGTACTTAAAATACTGATATACAGTAATTTAAGTACCCGAAATAAGTGATAAATTAACGTTACTATATAGTGATAAATTTCTATAAGGGTGCCGAATAGAGACTGAGAAGTCCAGGATTCGTTCAAAAAATTAACACTCGTTTAGTTTGAGTAATGTATTTTATATAAAACTTCTCCTCAGAAAGAGTTTCTTACAAATGTCTTCGATGCTTCGCTGATGTACAATTGTAGCTACACTTGGCTTTTTCGAGATAAGTTACACTTATGACTATTACGTGGATACGATCACACGTTTGGTTACGTTTACTGTCGGTTTCTCAATTAAACCTCCGAGTGTTTCTGATGGGTCCTTTTTATATCACTTAATTAGGTTGCGAGGTCTATAGGTATAGGTCTATAGATCTATAGGTATAGGGATTAGTGCACGCGAAAGAGATTAACGAAACGTTCACATGTATTTTTGGAAATTTCTTAATGCCTCGTTTTCGAATTTTGCAGTCGTTGCGAACAATGGCATTTTGTTCAAGTACAAGTATACGCCTTCCAATATTTAATATATGATTTTACATTAAGAATATTTCATTGAATATATAATAATTATATAGTTATAAAAGTTTCAGATAAAAGTGATTAGATTTTGAAGGAGACATCCGATGGTGACTCTGACCACCGATGGGTGCGTGCTGGACGAGTGGGAGTGTAAAACTTGAAAAAAACCACCTAGTAGCCATCTCCAATAAATTTGCAAAATTTTAGTACATATTTCGTACAAATTGGTCAATAAATGTGTAAGTGCGTGGGTAGGTCGAAACTTTGAAAAAACCACATAGTTATTTATATTTATATTATTTGTATTTATATTATCATTGTGATTAAATTTTAGTATCACGCAGAAATAGTTTAAGTGACCATAACTTTAAGACTATTCATGATATGTTAAGACGAATAAAAAGTTGTAAAAATATGAATAAATACAAGATTTATTTAATATAATTTGTACATATTACCATTTGTTATTATGATATAATATAATTTAAAAGTATTTTATATGTATCTTTGATATACTTTTAAAGTATTTGAATGTCTGTGCCTATACCGAAATACATTTTAAGTGTATCTTATATCTATCACTATTTATATATATTTTGTATCATATATATATATATATATATATATATATATGTGTGTATAAAAATACAAAATATATGTAGTTAATGTACTTTGCAATTTTGTGTTAATATTAATTTTAATATTACTTTTTTAACATTATTTAATCGTTTAATAAGAATTAAAGGAGTAAAAGGAGAAAAAAATAGAAAAGAGTTATATATACAACTATGAAACATTACATCTATACAACTATGAAACATTCTTTCGTGCATAAACTATCAGTACAGAATATAGAGCAGGAATATCCGCCTCTTTCTTTTCATTATATAACTTAAAATTACCTTGACTTTTTTTATAGTCTTTGATTTTTCTTTCCGTAAATCTATGTCTTAACTCATTCTTAAATTCCTCTCTTATATTATGCGGCATTTTGTTCAAAAATTCATAAGTATGCTGTGAAGTAACCATGGCTATCGAAATAAAAAATATAATTAACTTAAAATTATAATTCAAGTAAATGAGAAAAAATAATAATATTGAAAAATATGCTAATTAATCAATTAATCTAGAATTTAATTTTTGCATGCACATATTCAAGAAAATATACTTACATAGAAACTTTTCTGTATTCCTACAGTTGTCCATCTCTTGATGACTGCTATAGAGAACTTGAAATCCGATATCTTCAAGTATTTCCTTTAACTCTTCGTGAGGTCGGATCGAATAATGAAGTGACCCAACATACTTCTGTTTATCCTGTATAAAGATAATTGATAATAATTTATAGTAAAAAATGCAATATGCAATGTGTATACACATATAATATTTTATTTTTATATAAAGATTTATTTATATTTATATAATAAAGAAAATTTCATAAATACTGCAGTCTGTTATATTTGATATCGATATATAGTCTCGCAAATAAAACAGAAAGTTGCATTCAAAATTAAATGTTGAATAATATATGTAAGTATGTAAAACAAGTATGTAAGTATGTAAAATAACTAAATTTTATATATGTTAATCATTATTATGTTAATCGTTATTATATTAATCATAATCATATATTAATTAATTTATGAGTGTGCACTCAGTGGATTTTAACTATGATAAAAATTAAACTTTCATAATCATGCGGAAATTATTCTGCAATCTAATCTTATATTATATTTTGTACTTACCTCCATATACGGTGAAAATCGCGCATCTTGTGCCATAATCTCCACAGCTTCAAACAAGCCTGGGCAATGCGTTACGGTTGATATAAGCATAGATTTACCAGGTTGAAGCATACGATAAATATTCTCACATGCTTGGCTGTTAAACAACAAGATGTTAATTATAATTTAAAACATATTAAAACAACACAAACGCTCGCACATAACGCGCGTGATTTCTCGATTTTATATTAAAAAGATTGATATTTTAAACCCTTGTAGAAATTTATCAAGAGACACGGTAGTGTCTCGCGACCAGTTAAGGGCGTAGCCGAGACACCGTGTATCTTAACGCGAGTCGGACATTTGAGTCTTTATAATATTTCGAATTCTCAATAACGGCTGAAGCAATCGAGTTTATACTAGACTTAATCGATAGATTGAGTTTGAATTATATAATAAAAGTGTCTTTATTTTTGCTCTACGTGATTTGTAAGCAGAGATATATAATTGCAAAGTCAAAATATGAAAAATTTCTTTTAAGAAACGTCCCCGTCATCATTATTATCATCATCGACCACGCAAACATAGTAGTATCGTGCTACACGTATTCACACGTATACAACACATGCGCACACATATATTACACGTACACAACACATGAATAGATGCATGTATTGGAAATGTCCATCTCGCACGTTTTACAACAGACGGCGATAGTTGCCCTCCGCTATATTGACAGCGTGCGGGGTTAGATATTTTCAATTTTCAATTTCAATTTTTACATTCAATTTTAATGTTATTATTTGCAAATTTATTGTCATAATAATTTATGTGCAAGTTTACAGTCTGTGATACAAAATCAGATATTTTGCTATTATTTCAATAATATTTCAATTATATAAATGCCTATGTATGAGTATGCATATATTTTTAATAATTTTCTTAATTAGCTTCTATATTTTTTTCAGTTGTACATCAAGCAGGTAGCATTATCAGCTCACTTGTGAGCATGGGTTGGGCAATGGCTAGTTATCATCGCAGCATTCGATTAGCTTAACAAGATAAATCTAATATCAGTGCTATAGGAACTATTTTACAATTTTTCTGGCATTTTCTTATTGCAGGTACATATATATCCAATAATTAATATACAAAATTAAATATTATTCATCACACACTTTGTATCAAAATAATATATTTTTTAAAATTTATTTTAAATTTATTTAATCATTTTTATCATTGTGATTGTAGTGGCAAGGATCTTATTGCTCAGTGTCATTGCAAGCATCTGGCCTGTATATACCATAATATATTGTGTAATACATTGGCTAAGTATGACAATATAGATTTTGATAGATTCCCATGGAATATTGGAATTTTGTCGGACTTACAGTCATCCACCACATATGCAGCCTACAATTAAAGAACGCATTTATTCCATATGATTTGCTTCCGTTATTGGAATATTTAAAATAAAAATTTTATTAATAAATTTCGATGAAATAATTTATAAGAGGTTGAAGAAACTATGAAACAAATTCAGTCTCATAAAAGGGTAGTTGGAACAATAGTGGTGAATGCAGAAGGTATTACATGAGATCATTGACATGATTTACTTGTAGTTGTAAACAAAAATTTATAAAATTATATTTGTTTTAGGTATTCCTATAAAGTCAACATTAGATAATACGACAACAGTTCAATACGCAGGTTTGATAAGTCAATTGTCAGATAAAGCTCGTTCTGTCGTACGTGACTTGAATCCAACAAATGATTTAACTTTCTTGCGCATACGTAGCAAAAAACATAAAATTATGATGGCACCAGATAAAGAATTCATATTAATAGTAGTACAAAATCCAGTTGATTGATATTTAAAAGAAACAAAAATATATTTCAAAGTTAAGATTTATTTTTTTGGTTGTTAATTTAATCTGTATGCTACATTGGATGTTAATATCTATTCAATTAAATAAAGAAAAATAAAAGAATAAAGCTTAAAAATTATACAAAATGCAGTATTTAATTACTAATTTAACAAATTATGAACTTTTAGAGTTTTTAAATAGTGCTTTCTTCTTTGGTAACAATATTATATTTTTAAGTTTGATAATTATGAAAATATGTATATATAGTAATTCATGGCATGTTTATTTTTGTATTTAATACAATTATAAATGTACATTTCTCATCAATAAAATATCACAGTATCTTTTTTATAATTTAATTTTAATATTGAGATTGTTTTTATTCAGTGGAAAAAAAAATGTGTAGTTGGTCCCTATTAATTATACATACATATAAGAGTGTCGCACAAATAATTCTATGCAGTCTTTTTAAGATAATATAAAAATACTTATAAGTATAATCAATTAAAATACATATAATCAAAATTGTATGTATTAAAATTTAATAGCATATAAAAAAAATTTTTTAAAATTATATCAGTGGAAAAATAAATGTGTAGTTGGTCCCTATTAATTATACATACATATAAGAGTGTCGCACAAATAATTCTATGCAGTCTTTTAAGATAATATAAAAATACTTATAAGTATAATCAATTATAAAATACATATAATCAAAATTGTATGTATTAAAATTCAATAGCATATAAAAAAATTTTTTATAAAATTATATATATATATAATAAAAATCCAACATTTATATATATATATATATATATATATATATATATATATTTATATCATAAATATATATTTATTTATTTATATTTACCTATCTTTTTTTTATATATATGGTAGAAATACAATGTATGAGTTATTTTATTTTGCAAAATTTTTGAAAGTTAAACTATACAATAAATTATTTCATATAATACCGAGATTCTTTTCATAATAAAGATTAAGAGAGAGTTAGATTTTATCATAAGATTTATAAAAGTCATAAGATAAGGTTAATTGCATATTGTATAGTTTATCTCTCATTTTTTAAAGTAAATAAATATCAAAGTTACATTGCTTGAACTGGTGCGTTTGAAGTATGTTGTCTTTTTGAGGGATGCAAGACAATATAGTACAAAAGCATTGCTGTAATTCCCAAGAAAAAGGAAATGATACAAATAATAAAGATTATATTAAAGTACTAAGCCTCTTTAACTGCAGGAGAACAAGCATATTGCCATAATAAATTTGCTGCAATATTTTCAAAAAAGCAGATAACATAGAAAGATAGATGTTTTCAAAATGTTTTGCTATCTACAGCATTGAGATATATAAAAATGTGCACTATGCCAATAACGGAAGCAAATAATATGGAATAAATGCGTTCTTTAATTGTAGGCTGCATATGTGGTGGATGACTGCAAGTCCGACAAAATTCCAATATTCCATGGGAATCTATCAAAATCCATATTGTCATACTTAGCCAATGTATTACACAATATATTATGGTATATACAGGCCAGATGCTTGCAATGACACTGAGCAATAAAATCCTTGCCACTACAATCACAATGATAAAAATGATTAAATAAATTTAAAATAAATTTTTAAAAATATATTATTTTGATACAAATTGTGTGATGAATAATATTTAATTTTGTATATTAATTATTGGATATATATGTACCTAAAATAAGAAAATGCCAGAAAAATTGAATTTGCTTATTTATTTAAAGATGCTTATCATATACAAAAATGAATGATATAATCTCTAAAAACTCACCTTTAAAAAAAGGTAAAAAAAGGCGACCAGTTAAGGGCACACCATTAACAAAAATTATCCATTGCAAACCCATGTACAATAGAATTGTATGAAAAATTATCGATTATAAACCCATGTACAATCGTAACAAAAGTAATGAAATAAAAAAAAAATTGCGCCAAGTGAAAGTAGAAACTTGTACCAGTGGAAAATTAAAGTTGCAGACATATATAGAGTCGTATAATGAATCAATAAAAATTTAAATTTGCAAATGTAGAATTGTACCATAAAAAAACTTATCTTTTAAAAAAAAGATAAACAAGATGCCAAGTCCATGCGCCATGTGAAAAAGTGTTAAACAAAAAAGTATTTTTAAGTAAAAAAATCTATCAATTGACAAAAATTTATGTTCTAAAATTAATATCTCTACAAAAAGTAATGTCCAATTATTGCGCGAATAAATAAACATTTTTATAAAAAATTAAAATTTAAAAACTTATGCAAATTTAAAATTAATATAAAATAAAAAGAAATAAAAAAATTTTAGTTAAAAAAACTGGGCGCGCTGCAATGAGTTTAAAAGTAACAATTTAATTTTAATATCATTAGAATATTATTTAGCAGCGCGCCCAGTTTTTTTAACTAAAATTTTTTATTTCTTTTTATTTTATATTAATTTTAAATTTGCATAAGTTTTTAAATTTTAATTTTTTATAAAAATGTTTATTTATTCGCGCAATAATTGGACATTACTTTTTGTAGAGATATTAATTTTAGAACATAAATTTTTGTCAATTGATAGATTTTTTTACTTAAAAATACTTTTTTGTTAACACTTTTTCACATGGCGCATAGACTTGGCATCTTGTTTATCTTTTTTTTAAAAGATAAGTTTTTTTATGGTACAATTCTACATTTGCAAATTTAAATTTTTATTGATTCATTATACGACTCTATATATGTCTGCAACTTTAATTTTCCACTGGTACAAGTTTCTACTTTCACTTGGCGCAATTTTTTTTTGTTTCATTACTTTTGTTACGATTGTACATTGGTTTATAATCGATAATTTTTCATACAATTCTATTGTACATGGGTTTGCAATGGATAATTTTAGTTAATGGTGTGCCCTTAACTGGTCGCCTTTTTTTACCTTTTTTTAAATAATATACGGTACAAGTAATGTAAATGTAAATTGTAATTTCATACGCATGGATTTTTACAGTTTTATAATGTGAATATAAGATAACTTAAATGTTATATAAAAGCTATAGCAGCAATATAACTTGTTGCACTATTGTAATATAACTATAATGTGACTGTTATTGTACATGTTATTGTATATTAACTTTTAATTTATCTTAATATATATATATATATATATATAATATATAATTAGTCATTATAGTCATTATAGAAAATATTAGTCATTATAGAAAAATTAGTCATTATAGTCACTCCTTTAATATATATATATATATATATATATATATATATATATATATATTAAAGGAGTGACTATAATAACTAATTTTTCTCTCGTTTTATCCCACGATATATTTAAAAACTGTTCAATCATGATTTAATGAAATAATGCTCAATAATCGATTCTGTCTCTTCTTTTACAGGTGATAATTTCAGTTTCCCAAATGTTGGGAAACGTAATTGGTTTGAACAACTCGCGATTTCAAAAATCGTTATCGTTAATCAACAGTTACGCTTCCTCCGATAAAGTTATGAAAGGCACGGGTTTTCCAGTTGAAGTGAAGGATCTCAATAAAAGAATACGAACGGTTTTAATGGCGACCGTGCAAATGCGAGAACATAAAATATTAGAACTTTACATAAATTATTAGAGTATAAAATATATAGTCAATATCCTAGATAGCAAAATGTTAGGCAATAATCACGATTTTACAGCAGATTCCTATTCTAAAATTAATTGTTGTATTTGCAATTGATGACATTATGCTACCATAAGTAGAAAGTAAAATCTGACAGCAGATTAGCGGCAAAAACCAAAAAAATCTGTACAATATAGTTAATGGCAAATTGGCGGTAGAAACCTAGTCTAAAACACAATCTGATAGCAGATTGGCGGCAGAAATTGAGCAGGAATAATTAATCTACAATTTCTTGTCATTTAAAAATATGATAAAATTAAATATTTTTCAATGAATATGTGCATAAAATGCAGTATCCGTTAATTATAATTTTTTTTTATAAATATGAAACTAAATATAATATAATTAAATAAAATAATATGACATATATTATATTGTAGCTATATCTCAAATAGCAATTGTATACTTTGTAATGTAAATTTGCAAATATTAATTTTTTTATTAGTTCATAAAAGAAATACAAGTAAATATTTGTCAAGTGATTTATAACGAAAGACTACGTGAAAAAGAAAAAGAATTGCTCATTTTTGTCGTATTAATCATGAAGATTATTTATACAATTATGAAACTTTTTGTGCAGAAATTATCAGTGCAGTATATCCATTTGGTGCGGGGGTTGAGGCCGTGCACGTACTCCGCTGACCAACGCTGCCAAAAATGGTCTCGCATCAATTGGAGATGACGCCAGCGTGACAGTGTGGATGGAAACTTTTTGTGCATAAATTATCAATGCAGTATATCCAACAGACATATCATCTTTATTTTTCTTCTTCTCTACATTATATATCTTCAAATTATCTTGAATAATATCTACGTATTCTTTAGCTCTTATTTCCGCAAATTTACGTGCTAATTCATTCTTGAATTCATCTCTTAGATTATTCGGCATGTCGTCCAAAAATTTAAAAGTATATTGTGAAGTGACCACGGCTATCGAATTGAATAAAATATATACGATTAATTTAGAATTTGTAAATCAAATAAATGAGAAAAAATATAAAAACATTATGTTAATCACGTAGTCTAGAATTTAATTTTTGCTTGTATATATATCAAGAAAAAGACTTACATAGAAACTTTTCTGCATTATCCTTGTAGGTCATAATCCAATGACTGCAATGATTAACTTGAAATCCAATATCTTCAAGCATTTCTTTTATCTGTTGACGAGATTGGAGTGAATAATGAAGTGACCCAACATACTTTGCTTTGTCCTATATAAAAGGTAATTGACAATATATACAGTTAAAAAATTAAATGTGCAATATATATTATATTATACATATAAAATATTTGTTATACAAAAAAGATGTATCTAAAATTAACCCAAGCATCAAAATTAATCATCTTGACGTAATTTGAGATTAAAATGACAAATTTTGCTATCTATAGAAATGTCGAATAATACAAGTACACATAAAACAAAATTGAATCTCATATCTTATGTTAGCCAAATCTATATAAGCATACATTCGGAGGATTTTAAAATAAAAATTTCACAATCACACAGAAATTATGCTACAATATAATCTTATATTATATTTCAATTTGCAATAATATTCACCCCCATATACGATGCATATCGCTCATCTTGCGCCATAATATTTATAACTTAAAAAAAGTTTTGACGAACTATATATAATATCAGCATAGTTTTGCCAGGTCGAAGAATGCAATACATATTTTCAAACGTTTGGCTGTTGAATAACGAAGATAAATGTTAATGATTGTATTTTTAAAAATATATAAATTTATTAGAATTATTTTTCGAAACACAGTTAAGCAAAAGTATATATTAGTAAAATCGTGTATTACAAAAATTCTTTCTTACAAAAATAATATTGTAATTTACCATTATTAAATAAATTTTCTTACCGAATGTCATGGCACCAATGCAAAGTGTGAAATGAGAATATGTGATCAAATTTCGAAATATATTTCTCCGGCAAATTTTTTGTTTGAATATCCAACACTTCGAATTTGAGTCGTTCCTTGTCACCGTACATTTTATTTGCGTATTCGGTCGTACTTGCATTAATATCTGTGCCTTTATATAATATACATATATAGTTTTAACATTAATTAATATTAATTTTCTTTACATTATGTGTTGTTTTTGTGCGTGCGTGAGCTGTCAAAATCTTTTACGATTCATTATTTTTTCTTACCGATCATTGTTGCTTTTGGATTAAGAGCCGTAAGAAGAATATCCTTCGTTATATCTCCAGGTCCACAACCAACATCCATACATTTTCCAGTAATCTATTTAAGTTCTTTGGCAAACTCGTTGACAATAAGTGATACACTTTCTTTGTTCGCTTTAGTAAATAAAGCGTATCGCGCTGCTTGCATCATGATTTTATGATAATGTTCAATATACAACTAGAATTTATAAAAACTTGAAGAAAATGAGCTATAATAAGAGTCGGTGTGTCGAAATTTCAATATATGCAAATATACTCTGCGTATTATTATTCTTTATTTATTTAGAACGGTTTTGATTCTTTTTTTGGACTATTTTTTTCAGCTTATCATATAATATAATACAATAAAATATTCGGAATGATAGACAAAACAACACTCAATACAATAAGCTGAGATGGTTTAAAAAAAGGAATAAACATTTTGAATAAATAAAAATGAGCAATTAATTACACACAGTTTTAAAATAACTAAATTACCGGAAATATGTGAATTGTTAGATGTTGCTGGTGAAATTGTCGATGAAATCTAAGAATTTATCGAACTATTTATGGTTCCTGCGAAAAATTACATAGAGAGCAGATATATATTGTGTAAAATCATTGTTTTCGAAAAAAAAGCATTTTTATACAAGTGTACTGAAGTGTGGGTGTGTGTGTGTGTGTGTGTGTATGTGTATGTAAAATGTATATATACAGAATAAGAAATAATACAAGATATTAGCATTAAAAAAATGGTTGCGTTAATATAACAGTGTCGCGAACTTTTTAAAGAGACATTTCTTAAATAAAAATTTAAAAAGAAAATTATATTATAAAAAGATGGATAATGTGTAATTTGAGGTGTTGTGTGCCTTGGGTCGGGCATAAGGGGTTGCGCCAAATTAGGATATAAATCCGGGACGTCAGGGCTTGGATCGGGGTTATTGTATTAATTCACTTCACATTTTCATTATTAAAGAGCTTTTTTTTTTTAAGTAAACACTTGACTTTATCTTTATTTTCACAATATTACACCTGTATGTTACGTAAACTAGTGTAGCGGTAGCATAGACATTGACATATTTCTGTCTATGAGCGGTAGCAATTATGTATGACTTTGCGAAGTGCGCGCGCGAACGTGATTACCTTTATATTGACAACTGTATTGCGACTGCCGAGCGTGTCTCCTGCTCGGTTTTTATAGTTCTAGCAACACAAGCGCGCGCGAAGCGTGTCATGACTTTGTTTTGGAAGGTGAAGAAACAAAATTTTTTGTTGGACAAATGTGGACAAATTGTAGACAATCGCGCGCGCGTTTGGTGCTTTAAAATTAAAGAAATCTTTCATGAGGATGCTAGTAATGAATTTTTTTCCATAACTTTGTTTTGGAAGGTAAACAAACAAAATTTGTTGTTGAACAAATGTGGACAAATCGTGGACAAACGAATGTTATCAGAATTTTTTAAAAAATCGCATTTGGGGGTGCTAATTTCACGGAGCTCAACGGGCCCTTTTGGTTAAGAACCTAGGTGCAAGCGAGGTAAATTCAAAGTTCTGCTTTGCTTGCACTTTAAGCAATTTCGGTTTCGCGCGTGTCTTGCAGTGTTTGCGTTTTTGGCGCAATCGGCATCCGTCATCAAACAAATGTAACCTAAGTGGTTATATCATTTAGGGATATAACAGTATTATTGAAACATATTTTTTATGTGTCTTATTGAATTTCTTTGTTACATATTTTTATTGTGTGTCGAAATTACATCGCAAATTTTTAAAAACAGCGCTAAGTATTTTTTGTACATTACATTTTTTTTACTTTTATTTTTACTTTTATTTTTTAATTTAAATTAAAAATTTTTATTTAACTTTAATTTTTTTAATTTCCTAAATTTAATTCTTTGTGCCTTATATTACCTTTTTTGAATATACGTTTAAATATATTTGAATTAAATAATTATTTAGAGATAAATAATTTATTTTTTATATATATCTATTTATCTAAATATTTTATAAAAATATATAATAACTTTACAATGTATATACATTTCAGTTTGAATTAATTACATAATTATTCATGTTATTTAAATATAAAGATGAATAAATATATATATATATATATATATATATATATATTACTGAATTTATTTTGTTATTGTATATATTATAAACGTTTTAAAATAAAGCAATAATTATACATTTGTATCATTATAGGAAATTTATCTAAATATTATATATTATGTTGTCACTTACTTAGTGCAACTTTTTGATTTGACTACTTTTTGATGCTAATATTTTAACCTTTTTTCTCGTATTATCAATATAATTATTTAGCGCAATTTTTTGATTTCACTACTTTTTGATGCTAATATTTTAATTTTTTTTCTAGTATTATTAACAAAAATAAAATATAATTTTTGAGAAAATATTTTTGATAATGATTAATTTTTGCAAAGAATTATTTTGGCTATAAACATAATTTTTGAGAAGATTATATTTTTTATTATTATAAAGAACTATTTTTGCTGACGAAAGATATAACTTAGCGCTTTTTTTTTACATCTGTAATGTCTTTTTGTGTGTATATATATATATATATATATATATATATATATATCTTCATTTTAAAATATTTTCCTCTGACAACATTATCTGCAATCAATTTTTATTTATACCTACTTTCATCTCTGGACAATTTGACATTTTGGTTTTCTTTCAAAATTATATGATTATGATATTATGATTATTCCAAGACTGTAGTAATTACTTATTCCGAAAATATGGTCATCAAGGAGAGAAACATTTTCGTGGGTGAAGTGCGCGGACGACTTTTTGTAATTCGGGACGAGTTTGCAGCAGTTCGGTTACTAAAAACGAAAAGGAAACCGCGAATGGATTCGCGCGCCGGATGAAAAATGAGCCGCGGAACAATACGAAATCGGCAAAATGAATTAAATGCGCGCGGCAAAGCTTTTTCCTTCGGACAATGGCCGTTTCCACGACATCCGCGAGGAATTAGGACGAAAAAGAGTAAAAAGTAGTCATGCGATGGTTATCTACTACTAATAAACCACACGTATCATTATTGCGGATGATTGGACTTAATCATTGAAGGATTTGAGCACTAATTTTTCTCTTTACAGAATTAAATTTGCACGTATACATAATGTATGAAAAATTTAAATATAAAATTATATATGCTCGTTTTATTTTAACTACCTAATTGGTTTGTTAAATTCGAATAAAGTACGCATATGCTTAATAATTTTTCATCTTTTTATACATTTTTTGGTACACGTGATTTTTTTTTATTTTTTAATCAATCTTTCGAGAAACAGAATATACGTACTTCACTTAAATTTAAGTCATAAGCCCATCGTACGACACGTAGGGAATGAAAATCTATCTCGGTACGCGAGTTGCAGTGTGTATTGAGGAGATTGAAGGAGTTGAGGAGGTGTATGTAATGAACACCACGTGAGAGAGAGAGAGAGAGAGAGAGAGAGAAAACAAAGAGTGAAAAAAGCTGTCAAAAAAATGATAACGGAGAATAAAGCACGAAGACGAGGCAATAAAGCAGTAAAACTAAATGAGGAAGAGAAGAGTTTCAAAGAGAAGAGGAACAAAAAATAAGAATAAAAAATAATGAGAATTAGATTGAGAGAGGCACAAATGTAGCAGAGAGGAGAGAGAGAGAGAGAGACAGGTGACAACGGTGCTAGATGTGAGACCGGAATGAGATTTGACGAAATAAGAGAGGAAAATAACGATATAACAAAGCGAAGGCGCGCGGCGAAAAAGCAGATAGGAATTAAGAAATATCATATTCACAAGAGAGAGGACAGTGGGAAGAACGATAAGGGGATAAAGCGAGAAAAATGAGTAGCGCAAATAAATCGGCGCATACATATGTGTGTGCAGGTGTCTCTACAAAGGATAACAAAAGAGTCGTGGATATATAATGAGAGAAAGGGAGCGACATGCTACGGGATACTGTAAAAGCGACACAGTGGCGGAAAGTAGAAGGGAAATCAGGAAAATTACACGAGCAGAGATCGAGAGGAAAATGATAAAGCTGAAGCAAAGTTCGTGAAAGTGGAGGTGGAGAGGAAAGCGCGCGGAAGAAGAATTGTTTATTTTTGAGACACAAAGAAGCGACAATGTTAAGCGACGAGGGAAGATGAAGATATATATAAGAGAAAGCCAACAACTTTTCTTTTTATTCTCAACTTTTTCCACGCTAATGGTGTTTTTAATCGCCCAACGAATATGTTCGCTGCATTTTGCACAATCTGCGAATTAATTTTATCACAATTATAGATTCATCTGTTACTAATACAAATATGTACTTTCACGTACGATAATTAAATGTGTAATGGAATGGAAGACCGTGTTGCGATACGATGTATAGAACTGAAAGGATTAATGAATACACCTTAGATTACACCGTTTATCTATAGTTAACTGACCGCAATGTTCATTTTAGCAGTAATAAAGAGAAAGAGAAAAATTCATTTAATTATAAATTAATGATAATGTAATAATCATATCACTGTATCCGAATTTTAATTAAAAGAAGTCTATAAAAAAAAATATATATATATATAGCATATAGAGAGTGTATAAATACATACATTACAATTTTCTTAATATTAAAATAATTAAAAAAATATTGTTATACATAATAATTTAAAGTGCACATATAGCATCTCTTTTTCTCGTACATACTTAAACTTGAGAATTAAATTTTAATAAAGATATATATTTTTCATAAAAATATATGTAAGTTTCGAGATTAATTTATATATGGAACTTAGTGATCTCAAACCAAGAGATACAGTTCCGAATAATTAATTTTTCGTGCTTTTGGCTCTGTTGGCCGATTTAAAAAACATCATATTTATATTCTTAATATTGAGAGCCGATAAAAATATTTCTTTCTGATATATTTTTTTATTTAATACAACATTAATCGTTCAAAGTTTTCGGTTTATCGTCAAAGTAGCCAGGTTTTATTCCAGATAGTATAAAAATCAAACGTCTTTTTGTTGAAAATTACACACTGCGCGTGTTCTCACGACGATTTTGCATCCCACGACTTGAGAACGACAACCATATTATCCGCGTGTTGCGAACATACAGGGTAATGATAGAGCGAAATGACGAGGGAGATCGCTCCATTACGCGGACATGCTTGCGATGTGC